TTTTTTTTGAAAACAAATTTTTATGCCATCATTTTACAAACTTATTTTTTAGTCTATTTTTTCTTTTTTTCTTTCGCCAAACTGATAAATTTTTGAGATTTTTTTTTTCTTGTTAAAATTTGCACCATAATTTTATTTTTATTTCATTTCAAAAATTTGTTAAAAATAAAATTTTTATTTTTTCTAACAATTTTCACTTTACCTTTTCTTTGTACATCCTACTTTTACCTATTTTACATTATCAACAAATTCATACATTAATAACAATAAAAATTTTAGAGATCCGTTATCGTTGTTTGTTTTTTTTTCTTTTGTTTTAATATTGTCATGATCGTTGTTGTTGTTATCGTTGCTATTGTTGTTGTTGTTGTCGTTGTTGTCGTTATTGTCGTTGTTGCCGTTGTTGTTGTTGTTATCAATCATTATTATTAAACTATGTTATGAATTCAGAATTTCTCTGCTAATTTTAAAATCAAATTCATTACAAAATTAAATAACTATGCATATTGAATGATGAAATTTCATGTGATATCATCATATTTAAATAGAAAGATATCCGTTTTATTGTTGATGTTCTTTTTTTTTTTTTTATTCAAAATAAAATAAAAAAAAAAAAGAAGAAAAGAGAAAAAGGGACGAAATGATTTTTTGATTGGAAAATGTAATAGTTAAGCATCACGGATGACTCTGAGTCGTTTAGTCGATTAGCTAAACATCAAACATCTGTCCTCTTCATTTAACCAATAGATTTTAGCGCCGTTGTTGGGGTGGTCCTCTTCCATTTTCCATCGATTCTTTCAATCCTCTTACATTATCCTCATTTTCAGTTGATTTAAATAACGCTTATATGATTCGTATGACATTTTTATGACATTATTACAACTATCAGTATCAGCAAATTTGTGATAATTTGCTTATCATTTAGTACTAATGCATGATATGATCGATACTGTGACAAATTAAGTTACACTTCAATTCTTGCCAAAAAGAACATAAATTCATAAACTCTTTCATCTAATTCATTCATCGATGAAAGGATTGTTGATGTTTTGAAATCCTTTTTTTTTTTCTTTTTCTTAAACTATAAAATTTCTAAAACATATTGCATTGTATTAATTTGATGCAATTTATCCCTTACATTCTTTTCATAAATCAATTAATTTCTTCAACAATTAATCACTATCTTCATTACATTAATGCTATCAATATCATTAATAGTATTGTTGTTAACAGTATCATTACATTATCAATGATTATTGGCATTATCACAATCAAATTATCTATTCAATACAGCGATCATAAATTTATCATTGTGAATAATCATTATTGAATCATTTATCTATTATCATTAATAGAACTAACATCACCGTCTAGTATTATCAACCTAGATAAGTCTTTACTTAGATTACAATTAAGATTGTTATTGTTACCAGTTATAACTTACGTTAAATATCAGTATAAAAGCATTATCCGAATATTTCATATCATCTAATATAACTAATATATTCCTAATAACGGTTACTTTCTTAATTCTTGATGAAATTTTTGGTAAAACAATTAAGAAAACGAGCCAAGAAATAAAATTCCTTAATTTATTTGCAATTTAATTAATTAACACAACGTATTTACATAATTTTCTTGGTAATATACAAATTTATGAATGTTATATGTGCCAAAATTTTTTTTTTAAAAAAAAAAGCCATAAATTGTCGGAGTGTCAAAAGAGCAAAGTGAAATGGCTGAAGTACAATGGTGATTTCAATCATTTTCACTTATTTTTAGTTAATGGATAAAATTTAGTGCCATTAAAATATGCAATTTATGCATACTATGACGAAAAGAAATGTTAGCAATATTTGATATTAAAAAATTTATTTCATTTCGTTTTTTTTTTTGAATTTCTATTTAAAATTTATTTTTCAACATTGTATCAAAATTTCGAACATCATTGTAAACAAAATATTTTCTTATAACTTTCAAAAAAATTTTTTTTTTTTAAATTTTAAATTATGGAGATTCATCTTTCTTTTTTTTTTTATAAAATTATTTTATTATATAGTACCGCTTAAATTATTATCTTTTTATAGTTTACTGATTTTTATTCATATAAAATGAAATGTGTATACATATATCCTTACTATTTATTCATTTACTTATTCAGATGGTAGGTATACTGTACCAAAGTTGATTTATTCATTGACTGAATAGGGCAAAATTTGTTACTTTATTAAAGGGAGAGGAAGTTTCGAAAACTAGTTTTGC